CTCACTAGCGAAGACAAGCTGTCCTGAGATAATTAACTGTCCACTTTCTTCTCCAAATATTGCTGCAGACGTGCCACTCTGAGATAATGTCAGTCTGCAGGATGGAAATAATTTTTAAAAAACACCAGAAACTCCCTAGATTGTCAGAGCTAAGTGGACAGCAATACAGTTTCCAGACTCGGGTCAACAAGTTTGATGGCTCTACAGGTTTCTTTGTTTCTCTCCCCCCGCCCTTTCCTCCAGCCCCTTTTTAAAGTCCTCCCTTCAGCTTCTAGGGGACAGTCTCCAAATTGGCTCCCGGAGACTGGTCGCCAGGCCTGGAAATAAAGCCTTTGCCACTAAATTTTCGGTCTCTTGCCTCCTTGGATTTTATACCGGGGCTCAAGTTATAACAATGATCCTCTATACAAAAGACCCAAGAAGTCTATCAGAAACTCTTAGAATAACCAGTTTCACCAAATAGCAGGATACAAAATCAATGCACAAATATGAAGTAAAATTCATGTATACCAATAATGAACTCAATAACAGAGAAATTAAGAAAAACAAATACTATTCAATACACCATCAAGTAAAGTAAAATACCTAAACATTAACCTAGCCAAGGAAGTGAAAGACCTCTACAAAGAAATCACAGTACTCTGGAGGAGACAGATGAGGACGTGAGACAATGGAAAGATGTCTATGGCCCCACCACCCTGAACGTGCCCAGTCTTGTCTAATTTCAGAGGGTAAGCAAGCTGGGCCTCGTTAGTACTTGGATGTGAGGAAATGGAAAGCTGTCCTGTTCTTAGATAGGCAGACCCAATATTGTCAAAATGGCCACACTAAGCCGGGTGTGATGGCACATGCCTGTAATCCCAGCACGCAGGACACTGAGTTTGAGACCAGCCTGGCTGTACAATGAGTTCGAGCCAGCCTGAACTATACAGCAATATCCTGTCTCAAAACAAAACAAAAACAAAATGTCCATAATTCCAACACCGACACAAAGATTTAACACAATCTCGATCACAATGCTAACTGCATTCCTCATAGAACTAGAAAAAGCAATCTTAAAATGTATACACAATCAGAAGAGACCTAGATTAGGAAAAGAAATCCTGGGCAGTAAGAGCTAAGCCGGAGACATCATAGTACTTGTCATCGAGTTATACTACAAAGGGAGGACGATAAGGACAGTATGGTACTGGCAAAAAGCAGACGAGGATCAGAGGAACAGTGTAGAGGATACAAAAACACTCCCGGACACATTCTGCTATCTTATCTTTGACCAAGGGGTCAAAAACATATGCTGGAGGAAGGACAGCTTATTCAACAAAGGGTGCTGGGAAAATCGGCTATTGCGGAGGATTGAAGCCAGATCCATATCTCTTACCATGCACTAAGTTAATATCAAAATGGATCAAAGTTCTAAACATTAAAACAGAAACTTTGCACTTAGTAGAAGATAAAACAGGTAAAAACACTTGAAATCACAGGTATAGGCGAGGGCTTTCTGAACAGAACCCCAGTTGCACAAAAAGCAACAGCTAGAACAACAAATGGAATTGTATCAAATTACAAAGTTTCTGTGCAGCAAAGGAAGCAATAGAGTTGTTATGGTTGACACACTGTGTCAACTTGAGAAGTTTAACTGAGAGACCCAGCAGGGAGCCAGGATCCTTACTTTGTAAATAACCTCATGCTGTGCAAGAGGAGGGCACAGAGATTTTGTGAGCGCTACACCCACCCTGGAAGGGGGGTGAGGTGTGTGTGTGTGTGTGTGTGTGTGTGTGTGTGTGTGTGTGTATGTACAATATTGCTCTGGTTGCTGCCTTGAAATGTTGTCCCAATGTCATGTCATCCTGGAACCAGCTGATTATGGCCCTGCAAAAACTAAAATAAATAAATCTTTCCTTTCTTCATTTTGGGTGTCACATATTTTGTGCCAGCAACGAGAGAAATGTAACAGTAAGATAAGAGTGAAGAGACAAACTACAGGATGGTACAAAATTTTTGTCAGCTAATCTTTAGACAGAAGACTTCACATCTAGAATATGGAAAGAACTTTAAAAAAATTAGACAATTCAAAATAAAAGACCCAATTTAAAAAAACTAGGCAAGTGAAATGAATAGACGTTTCTCAGAAGACATATAAAAGCCCAACAAACATATGAAAATTGTTCAATATCTGACCATCAGAAAAATGCAAATTAAAACAATGCTAGGATTTCATCTTATACCAGAAAAATGGGCAATCATCAAGAAATAAAAAAATAACAAATGCCAGCATGGCCATGGTGAAAAAGGAAGCCTCCTGTATTGGTGGGAATGTAAAGTAGTACAACCTTTATGGATATCGGTAAAGAGATTTTGCAAAGAACTAAAATTAGAAGTTGCATTTTTTCCCCCAGCTATTCTCCTTCTAGGTATCTTCCCAAAAGAGCTAGAGCCATCACACTACAGTGACACATGCATAGCAATGTTTATGGCAGCATAATTCATAATAGCTAAATTGTGGGAGCAGTCTGCATGCCCGTGAACAGACAAATGGATAAAGAACAAGTGATGTCTATGCACAATGGAATACTACGTGGCTGTGAAGAAGAATAACTGAGAGACTTGCAGGAAAATGAATGCTCCTGGAAAGTATGTTAAGGAAATAAATCACACTGCAAACTTAAATACCATATGGTCTCTCTCTTAAGGCAAAGTACAAATAAAGAGCAAAATAAAGGAGAGGAGGAGGAAACAAAGAGATGGATCTTTTGCAAATGGAATGGGCCCAGGAGAGTGAGGGCAAAGGAAGGAGGAAGAGAAAAATGAAAACAGGTGTAAGGTGTGTGCTGACAGGTACCAAGTCCCACAGTGGATGTAAACATTATGTCATATACATCACAGTAAAATCCCAATAATTAAAACGGGGGAAGCAAATTTAGAGACAAAAGGATGTTAGTGGGAAAGGAAGGGAATGTTAAAGACTCAGGCTGAGTTACCCATATGCTAGAGAGGCGCTTGTGCCGCTGAGCTCTATTCCCAGCCCTTAAAGTATGCTTTTGTTTCTTTTCTGTTTGGTTTTGGGTTTTTTTGGTACCAGGAATTGAGTGCTGGACCTTGTGCTTGCCAGGCAGGCACTGTGCCACTGAGCTACATCCCTGGCCCTGTATACACACCTCATGCTCCTACTCCTTTTTAAAGACAAAGTCTTGGTATTTACTTCAAGCTGGCCTTGAACTTCAAGAAATCCTCCTGCCTCAGCCTCCCAAGTGCTGGGATTACAGGCATTGACACCACACCTGGCTATACCTATTCCTTAAGGTGGCTATAAACTTCATGTACTATACACAAGCACTATAAAATTAAATTTAAAAATAAACTTTAAAGGGATTGATAATGACATTATTTGTTGATCAGGGAATTATTGACACTGGCAGGAACTGTCTTGTAAAGAAATGACTGGATTAAAAAGGAAAAAGACAAAAAAAAAAAAAAAGAAATAATCCCTTTGGGGCTGGGGATTTAGCTCAGCGGCATAAGCGCCTGCCTTGCAAGCAGACAGTCGTAAGTTCGATCCCCGGTACCGATAAAAAGGAAAAAGACAAACAAAAAAAAAAAAAAGAGAGAGAGAGAGACAAAAGAAGTGACTGGAGCCGAGGCCAGGTGAGTGACGCATGTCTATAATACAAGCTACTCAGTGTTATAACTTGTAATTTTCCACAGATCGCTCTACGCTGAGTTCCTGTTCTGTATTCGTAGCCCCCCTCCATTTTCTGTTCTTTCTTAGCTGGGTTTATGAAGATAAGCTAACCACCAGCCTTGTACCTCCCCCATCCCTTTATTCATAGAAACATTCTGCACCTAGCCCTCAGCCCCGTTTTCTGAGACCACTGTGCTCCAGATGTCCCTTGTAAAACTCCCCGGACTCCCACCTTGTTTGATGAACCTCCACTTGTTTTGTGGTTTTTGCCAATAAAAGCTGCGCCCCCACTACGTCGGCACGCAGAGGTTGTCAGTCTCCACTGCTCCCTGGCTGCCAGCTAAGTAAAGCGCTTCTTTTTCTTCAAAGACATCTTCCTCGTTCCGAGCAACATTTGGGGATCTCATTTCCAGGCTGGAACACTCAGGAGGTTGAGGTAAGAGGATAACAATTCAAGGCCAGTGTGATTACTTAGACCATCTCAAAGTAAAAAATAAATTAAAAAGGCTGCGGGGGGGGGGTGTGGGGGGGGGAGCTGTAGCTCAGGGATACAGTGTTTGTTTAGCATGCAAAAGGCCCTGGGATTTGATCCCTAGAACCACAAGAAAAAAAAAGTGGTGGGAGGCAATCAACAGAACATCCGCAAAGTATGTGTAGGGTGACACAAGCAATGAAATGGTCCCTCCATCCATCACCTGGCTCGCTTGCTTGCTTATTTATTTATTTATTTGTGGGCATCAAGAATCCACGCAGGCCAGGCAAATACTGCACTGCTGAGCCCTACTTACCACCCAGTTTTAAAAAATAAATGTTACTCTTGTTTTGAATTTTTTTGTGTGTTCCCTACTCTAAAATGTAGTTTTTCTTGTTACAAATGGATACTTGCAACTATTTTCTGAATCCTCAGACCTCCCAAATGTGAATATTCTGAGAATTATATATATATTTTTTGAGGCTGAGGGTCTCCCTACTTAGTCCAGGCTGGCTTCAAACTCGAAGCAATCCTGCCTCAGCCTCCCAAATGCTAGGAATACAGGTGTGTGCTACCCCCCTGGCAGGACTGTATTCTGAATCAGTTGAGTAATGCAGTACTCAAACACAATTTAAAGTCAAGACTTGCTCTTTAAAGACGGCAGCCCAACCGGCGATTCAACAGTAAGCTGGCTGCTGAGTTACCATCCAAGCCTCAGCCCAGAGTGGAAGAGAAGGAATTCTAGTTGACTATGGCTAGGAAAGCACGTCATTTCCTTTCTTTTTTAAAAACAGGGTTGGTGGAGGTGGGGTGCGGGGGGCGGGGGTGGGTGTGGCGATAAAGGAGCTCTGGCGTCCTGCCCCAGCCGGGCTCCACAAACACACTGTTTCCTTAGAAAGGATCGGAGGAAACTCCAGCTGGAAAAAGGGAGAGCAAAGGAAGCAGATCCCTGCAAGGCTGTAACCAACCTCCGTCCCAGGGGGAGCCGGACGGGTCGTCTCAGGAGCACAGCACGCGCAGCCTTTGGCCCCGGACGGCAGCCTCCTGCCCAGGCCAGCTCTGCGGTCCCCGCGGCTGACTGGCTCCCAGCGCGCCCGGCCGGCCGGGGCAGCGGCTTCCTGGACGAAGGCGGCAGGCTCCAGCTGTGCCTGTTTTCTCTCGCTCAGAAGATGGCGTTTGCTATCTTTGTCCTCCAGCTGGTCATCTACATCCTGTTATTTCCCCTGTACCTGCTGAATTTTCTGGGTTTATGGAACAGGATTTGCAAAAAATGGTTTCCCGTCTTCTTGTCAAAGTTCACAGTGACATACAACCAACAGATGGCCAGCAAGAAGCGGGAGCTCTTCGGCAACCTGCAGGAGTTTGCAGGCCCCTCGGGGACGCTGTCCCTGCTGGAGCTGGGCTGTGGCACCGGGGCCAACTTCAAGTTCTACCCGCCTGAGTGCAGGGTGACCTGCATGGACCCCAACCCCAACTTTGAGAAGTATTTGGTCAAGAGCATCGCTGAGAATCGACACCTCCAGTATGAACGCTTTGTGGTGGGTGTCGGTGAGGACATGCGCCAGGTGGCCGATGGCTCCATGGACGCCGTGGTCTGCACGCTTGTGCTGTGCTCCGTGAAGAGCCAGGAGCAGATCCTCCGCGAAGTGCGCAGAGTGCTGCGGCCGGTGAGTGGAGGGACCCCAGGGGTCAGTGCAGCCTTGTCCCACCGGGGCTGCCAGCTGCAGCGAGAGGCTGACGCTAATCGTGGGACTCCTAGAGAAGACACTGTTGAATTAAACCTTCAGAGGGAGAATCTGTAAAGGGAAGAATTGACACATCTGCAGACTAAAATGTCCCAGACATAAAGTTTAAGTACAAAAACAAACTTGGAAAAACTATTTCTCAGGGATGCTAAAGTGAAGGATTAATCTCTTTCATGTCAAATGACTTTACAGCTGAAAGCCGCTGGTGCCTGGCTGTAATTCTAGCACTCTGGGAGGCTCAGGCAAGAAAGCAAAGTTCAAGCCCCGCGTGAGCGAGACTCAGGCTCAAAAATGTGTTGTGGGGGAAGGGGACTGACTGGGGTGCAGCTTAGTGGGAAGGCCCTGGGTTCAATCACCAGTACTAAAAGAAAAAAAAGACATTACAAATTAATAAGGTCAGTAGTTTTTTAATCAGCAAGAAAAACAAAAGAGGAAGAGGTATGAGTAACAAATACAAATTAAAAGAGCCAGTCGTATGATTAAAATGCTCAGAATTAAAGAACTGACTAAAGTAAGCACCATTTGGCTACTGTTATTGCCAGAGACTTGAACTCACGACCTTGCGCTTGCCAGGCAGGTACTTATGCCACTGAGCTAAATCCCATGCCCACCAGAGACTTGTGGAGTCAACATGATACTGAGGTGGGTTTGGGAAACTGGACACTTTCATGCACACTGGTGGGAAGCCTTTGAAGAGTCATTTCACAGTATCCAAACTGAGGATTCCAGTAGGGCTGTATTACACAGTTCAGAAACACAGAACTTGTCCATACACGAGGAGATTCACTACCACAATAGAAAATATTAAACAGCACAAACTGGGAATCACTAGTGCGCCCATCAGTGGGAGAATGTTTAGGCAGACAGTCACAGAGCATAGAGCAATAAGTACTAGTTCCCTATCTGAAAGAACAAGCGTGGTCCCTGTCACTAGGAAAAAATGCCTGAGAGAATGCAGATAACAAAAGCAATCAAAATACAGGATATAGAGCAAAAGACCCACTGCATGAAAGGAAAAAGGATCTGCATGCCTGCACATGTTCTTACAAAAGAAATATATACAGTAGCTACCTTTGAATGACACCAGATGCAGAGTAGAATAATTTTTCTTTTTGTATCCTTTTGTAAAGCCTGAAATTCTTCATTCTTGTAATTTTCACATTAGCTTTTATTAAAAAAAACTATATCAAAATTGTTTTATTTTGAAGGAAGCTGAATAAAGGACGGATATCTTCACATTTTAGTTTACTGTTCTAAGGGAAAGGGATTTTTCTGTAATCTCCAGTTTTCTTATTTTATTGGTATATTTCAGGTATACATAATGGTATCAGGGAGTTTGTACCTCTATGTGATATATTTTGCTGCTGCTTTTTTTCCCCCCCTCATTCCCCTTTCTGCTCCTCTCCTCATTTTTTTTTTTTTTTTTTTTTTGGTACCAGGAATTGAACCCAGGATCTTGTACTTGCCAGGCAGGTGCTTATGCCGCTGAGCTTTATCTGTGGCTCTTCCTCACTTATTTACAAAAGATTTGTTTTCATTTTTAAAAATTCCTTCTCCTCCCTCCAGTTTTATTTTTAAATAGAAGTTTCTCAATAAGAAAAAAGGACCTGAAAATAGGTTTAGAGGCATAATGTAACCCTACCTCTGGGCCAAGAATAAGCTAATATCCATCAGTGAATAAGAAGGGATTCTCATGCTTGAATGCTGAGCTTTTTGTCCTAAACCTGAGAACTCACTGGCACACTAGTCAATGTTTTGCTTAAGTGATCTCACAAAATCCCTGCAAGCCAGGTCCATTTTATAGCACTGATAATACATTTAATTCTTAAAAGGATCATATTCTGGGCAATCTTCCTCACTCCTATAAACCACCCATTCTCTACTGCGTGGAAACCGGAGCATTATTACATAACCTTCACAGTCATTCTTTAAAGCAGATATTATCTTCATGTAGGGACAAGAAAACAAACACAAGTAAGAAACTTGCTAAAGTTACACAGCTCGTGAGTCTGACTTTCAAATGAAAACATTCCCACTGCTGCACCAGGGTGCTTTCCCTGGAGCTCTGTCTCTCCGATGTCACCATTTCCACCACCTCTTCCTCTCCTAGCCCCTAGACAGGGAGCTTCTTGGCTCTCATTTTTCTTATCTACATTTCCAGGCAAGTGTATATGCTTGGACCTGTCAGTGTTTTCAACTACTGCATAGACACAGCATCCAAATTTACATGTTAACCTCAGATCTCTTCTGACCCCACACCTGTCAGTCTCCTAGATGACTCCAGGCATCTCTAGTTTCATATATTAAACCTGGAGGGCAAAACCAATCTATCCAAACCTCTCCCTCCTCCTTTATCACCTCTTTCCCATATACTAACAATCTTTTAACATTTTCCTTTGAATCACGAAATTCCAAGTTTTCTATTCCCAAATTCAGAGTCTTATTATAATTTACCCACATAATCTGGGGACACTCCATCACCAGACTTTGAAACCTGTACTAAATGCCCTGCATCTGTCAAGGGAAGGCTGGGAAAGGGGCTGAGATGATGTGACAGCCCCCTCAGTCTTAAAAGTTAACAACCAAATTCTTTAGCCCCCTGCAGAGGTAGGTAGGTTAAAAACTTCTGAAGGCCTCTCGGTAAGGTAATATGTGATGGTTTCTGTGGTCTTGTACTTGGCTCACACAGACTATCCAGGATGGAAGTAGCAGGCATTCATTCCCACCGGGAATTTACACTTAGCTTCATGGTTGAATAAAATACCCAATGACAAAAATCTTACCATGAACTCAATGCTTTTAGATAAATCAACATTTATTATCACATACTTATTCAAGAAAATGGTACAAAAGTATAAAACACAGCTATTTGGCCAATGAATTGCTTCCAGCTCTCCTGCTAGAAATCTATGGTGCTCCTACAGGTTTGTGAGGCAATGCCTGACGACAGTCTGCAGGCTAAAGTTTTTAGAAAAGCTAAAAGTAGGGGCCAGGGATTTAGCTCAGCAGGCACAAGCACCTGGCAAGCATGAGGTCATGAGTTCGATCCCCAGTACCAATAAATAAATTAATAAATAAATAAAATAAAAAGTTTAAAGTAGGAGTAACAACAGCAAAAAGTAGTTAAAAGACAACAGAAAACTGGGAAAGGATTTGTAGTATAGTCTTAAAATAAAATCAGTAAGGAAAAAAGTCACTACATGTAAGAAAAAAATAACAAAACATATCAACACACAGAATCAGGGAAGAAGAAATCCCAGTAACCAATAAACTTCACCTAACTGTTTTATACTTAATTAAGAATATTAAAGCTGGGTGTGGTGGTGCATGCCTGGAATCCTAGCACTTGGAGGCTGAGGCAGGAGGATCTCAACCCAGGCAATTTATAGACTAAGAAAGACCTTGCCTCAGAATTTAAAAAAAAGAAAAAACAAGCTGGGTAGGAGGTTAGTGAGAAGGCCTTGTGGATCTGATCCTTAGTAACAAATAAATAAATACATAGATTTTTCAAAAACAAATTATCACCTTGTCCATCAAATTGACAAATAATTTCTTCAAGTGACGAGTGACCAGTTATGGACATGCACAGTTACATCTATTCCCAGCTTGAATGTAAATGTGATGCAACAATAATTTGAAAATTTATACCAATGACTTTAAACAAGCACCTACCACTGGCTCAGCAGTTCTATTTTTTAAAATTTGAATTACTTGTTGGACAGTAACCAGAGACAGTTATCAAGATGGCTATAATTTGCTAGAATATTCACTATAAAAGTATTTACAGTGTGAAAAATCAGAAATGAAAATGGTTAAATAAGTGATGGCACCTTTAGCAGTATCACATATTGTATAAAAGGTTTTTAAATTATATTTTAGATATAAATTTTAAGGCAATACACAAAATTTAAGGCAAATACACCAATTCAGATGCACAATAAATCTTGACAATTCTCTCTAGGTGATAGAGCTCTTCATTCTTCTTAAAATTTTCTGTATTTTCTGAACATTCTAAAATGTGTCTGTAAACACGTATGTTGCTGAGGTCCTTCTGCCAGTCTGTGGAGATCGCTTAGGCTCAAAGCCTGCTTCTAACACCTGCTAGGTATGCCACTCTGGGCAAGTTACTCATTTTCGTTATGACCAGTGATGATACTAATAACTTGGCCAATAGTATTGAGAAGATTAAGTCAGTTATTAAGCATTAAGGATAATAGCTGGCATGCAGTGAGTGCTTTAAATTTTAGCTATTGTAGCTAGGCGTGGTGTTGCAAGCCTGTAATCACAGCACTTGGGAAGCTGAGGCAGGAGAATTGCGGTGAGTTTAAGGCCAGTCAAGGATACATAGTAAATTCAAGACCAGTCTGCACAGAGCAAGACCCAGTCTACTAACAAACAAACAAACAAACAAACAAACAATTTTAGCCATTATGGATTACTCTTCTTACTAGAAAATACATGTTAATTGCTTTAGGTTGTCAGCTCTGCATAATATTTGATAGAAATTGGAACTACTGACTCAAACAGTATCTTACCAAATTTTACTTTATCTGTGTCCTCTCAGAAAGTTGGTCTCTGGGACTCCTGAAATCTGAAGCTTTAGCCATCTCATCAATCTGTTTTCTGCAAGCCCAAATCCTTAAAAGCTTTTCTTTCTTTCTTTCTCAGGGAGGGGCTTTCTATTTCATGGAGCACGTGGCAGCAGAGCAGTCCACATGGAATTACTTCTGGCAACAGGTCTTGGATCCTACCTGGCACCTTGTGTTTGACGGCTGCAGCCTGACCAGGGAGAGCTGGAAGGCCCTGGAGCAGGCTGGCTTCTCTAAGCTGAGGCTGCAGCACCTGCAGGCCCCACTGTCCTGGGTGCTGGTGCGTCCTCACATCTATGGATTTGCCGTAAAATAGCGCGGGAACCAGTGGAGAAGTGCTGCAGCTTTATGGTCACCATAGTAACTTGGAAAAGGGAGACTCTTGTTTTTAGGCAGAGTTAAATCCACCCCCAAAAGTTTCTGTTATAGTGTATTTAGCCATCTTCTTTCATCTCCCAAAGAATCAAAGCCAAACCAAAATAAATACACAAATAACAACGAAACTTTTGAAATCTCCCGTCAAAGGAGAAAATGGACCTCTGTAATTGAAGTCCACCATTATCTCCAAAGCTTACTTCATTTAGTGACTTGGAAATTTTTTTCCAATTATCTTATTTAAATTGTTACCCATCAGATCTAAATCTCACCATGTCTTTTAGAACATGGTACTACAAAGCAGTCAAATAATTTCAAAATAGACTTTTAAAAGGGAGCAGGGCGGGCTGGGGATTTAGCTCAGTGGCATAAGCGCCTGCCTTGCAAGCAGGCAGTCGTGGGTTTGATCCCCGGTACCGATAAAAAAGGGAAAAGACAAAAATAAATAAATAAATAAGGGAGCAGGGGGAAAAAACCTTAATAATTCACAAGCTGAACAAAGAAATACAAGCTAATTGAAAGTTCAAGTTCAAATAGCACCAGTTTCCTGAAAAAAATCCAAACCTGTTTGTTATTCTCAGTGTTGCTGGTTTGGTTTGCAGAATTACTGTGCTCACCTGCCACACGCAGTGCCGCCCAGCGTGTTTTCCATTCCAGGGCTCTCCAGTTTGTTTGCCTGCATTCCAGCCCTTAATACTTAAGATGAAGACTATATTGACACACACTGATATAACCATAGAACTATTTGAGGAAGTTAAGGTTCACTTATTATCTAGCACATACTTTACTGAATTATAATAGGTTGCAGGAGAGGAAAGAGGCCGTTGTAATTACGAAAAGCTTGTGTAATTAGGTATATGATCTGAGAATCCTTTGAAAAATCAGTCAATCCATAAATCCGTAGACGAGGTGGCAAGTATACTTTGGATTATTCATATCAAACTCTACTCTTGTCCCAAGATGATTTCTCTGTTCTTTACAATTATGAAAACCGTAAAAATCACCACGAGTGCTTTTGAAAAGTGACAGGTTGTTCAGAGGATTTAATAAGATCTTCACCAATAGTTTGCCTGTAGTTTAACAAATACAGTATATGTTCTGAGATTATTTTGCAAAAGTACTATTTTAAATGTCAAGTCAATAATATACTCACATTCATTTTAGGAATGGAAATAAATGAAATAGTTTATATCTTTTCCAGCTTGGTTTCATTTCTTAAAATGTCTAGGGAGGCCATGTCTTCATTTTTAAAAATTAAGCTAAACTTGGGGCTGGGGATTTAGCTTAGGGGCTGGGGAGTTAGCTCAGGGGCTGGGGAGTTAGCTCAGCAGCATAAGCACCTGCCTTGTAAGCAGGCGGTTGTGAGTTCAATCCCCGGTATTGATAAAAATGAAAAAGACAAAAAAAAAAAAATTAAGCTAAACTTACAGATTTTTTTTTTTCTCTACAGCTAGGTAAGCATAAATACAGCTAAGTATATTTTAGAAAAAGCAATATTGGAAGGATCATGATGGGTTTCAAAAGTGTAAGTGCAAAGTTCTCATTTGTGCAGAATACAAAGCAAGAAGATAGGAAGCTCTCTGTTCTACCTCTTGGTACAGTGAGGGCAGGTCCCTACCTAAGGTCTCCTGAGCTCTGGACCACGAGTCTCCTTTCTCTGTGGTCTCCTACAAGTAGGAAATGCCTTCATCTACCCACTGCACTAGTGGGAAGGTGGAGCCACTGAGAGACATGAAGGGCCTCAATGTACCTGGTGAAAGTTATCACACTGAAAGGTACTACCAAAGTACTAGGCGCATTCTTGCTAATTTTCTCTTCTCTAAGTGATGCGGCAAATTTTGCCTTGACTTTTGATTAGAAGAAACTGAGGGAGAGAGCTATTAATAAAGGAAGTTTCTTACAATTATTCCACAAACAAGTTTTAGAAACCCTGAGACTCTAAGCCACAAAACCTGCTTTGGTAAGCATCGCTGCCATATAATCTTCTAACTGTGTCCACTCCTAGGCCCTTATTTTTAACACAACTTGGTTACCTGAAGAGCCCCATGACTAAAAACAGTATAACAAAGCGGAACGGGGGTGAGAAAATATGTCCATCGCCTTTCATATCCTGTGCTGGTCACAGTTCCACTGATTATAGGCGCACCTTCAGCAGGGCGCAGGAACTTTTATCAGGAGCCAGATCTTTAGGTCATCTCTGCGTTGCTTCTTTGCCCTATTAGGTTAACAAGTTGGCAAACAGTGCAGTCTTCGTGTTTCCCGGGCCTAAGGCTAGTTGTGCTTTCACAAAAACTCCAGCTAAAGGCCTGTAAGCATAAACTGGTCCCAACTGACAATACTAAGTCACAGGATGGTAGGGATAGATTATGCTGCTTGGCTGACTATAGGTCAGAGCGTCTTCCCCGGGCCGAGCACATGGACTGAGAAAGGAAGGGTGTATCTTGTTGGTGGTTTTTTGTTTTCTTTTTAAACAGGGTCTCGCTATGTAGTCCAGGCTGGCCTCAAACTGGTGGTAATCCTCCTGCCTCAGCTTCCCAAGTGCTAGGATTACAGGTGTGTGCCACTATGCCAGGCTCTCACCTTCCTAATGATAACAAGGCCTGTGATGGATGAGAGTTTGGAGTAGATGCTGAGAAGGCACACAACAATGCCAATCATTAGCCCATTGATGGATTTTGAACAAATCTCTGTGATGGCAGATAACATAATACAGTTCCGTGATGGGTGGTTTTTCAGTGGGACAACTGCAGGTCACAAGAAAAATAAAATGAAACACTGGCTCTGACATTAAAGTGACCTAGATCGAGTCTTTGCTGTAGTTTTGAGAAACTACACTGTTAAAGTACACTGTTGTGGCATATGGAGTTAAAATTACTCACACACCCCCCACCCCCAGGGGTAAGACTCCTTTGCCCTTATGCTGTTACTCCAAATGAGATGGAAGTCTCATACCAGCACTGCTAAGCCAACCCTTGACTTACTCCCTGCTTAGCCGAATGTCTGCCCATTTTCAGTTCACTACTCTGTCCAGTTCAGCGTAAGTCAATGGATGCTAACCGCTTTTTGGGTCTCTATTTCTTGTTTGTGGGATCCCCTTACATTATGCTTTTCTTTTCTAATGTATGTTGATTTAATTCTCTGACTGAATCATGACCCTCAGAGGATGGAGGTAGAATTTTTCAGTGTCTGCAGTCATTTGTTGGCTCTGACCTTGGGCAAATTACTTCTCTAACTTCAGATTTCCATATCTGTAAGTGGGGATAACGTCTGTCTAGGGTTACAGTGAGAAGTAATGAAGTGGGGTAACCTGGCACGTAATACATTTGGACTCTCTTCAACAATTTTTTTCTTTCTGTGGTAGTTGGGGTTGAGCCTGAGCCCTTAAGCCTTGTATATGCTAATCAGCTGCTCTACTCTGAGCTGCACGCTGAGCCGTGGCTCTATCACCCTCACTTTTTATTTAACTGACACACACTGTCTACTGGACACTTACTATGTAGTCTGCTCTTAGTACTGAGAAGAGCTCCGAATAAGGTACACATGGTCCCTGCATTCACAAGGTAAATGTGATGTAATCTCTGAGGAAAAAGGACAGGCTGCCAGGATGGTCTACACCCACCTACCTGGGAGAAGGAGATGTGAGGCTTCCCTGTGGAGGGGACCTTTGAGTTAAGTTCCAAGGGGTGACTAAGCAGTATTTCAGACTAACAGAATGGCGTATGCCCTGGCTGAATAAAAGAGGAAGCTGTCCAAGAAACTAAAAGCAAGCAAGCAGAGCTGGGCATTGGAGTGTGGGGGGTGGGTTCTGGGTGGCTTCTATTTCCATCAGCTTCTACTTAAGTTTTGGGCCCATAAGCTCAACACATATTTTAATGGATAACCAAAAAACAAACAAAACCACAGGAAAATTTCTTGTATTTATAGCCTAAGACATTTGATTCCTGAGTATTCTGTTCCCTCTGATTTCCACATATTTCATACTTGAATAGAAAGAGAAGCAAACATTGCATAATAGTTCTTTTTGTACTCTTGACCCCAAAATAAACTTCTCTTGGTGTTGAACTGAAAAACAACTCAACATAACTGAAATTCAATTTTTGTTTGATTAAGGCAATTGAAAATACAATGAATTACAGCATACTAATGTCAACAAAAGCAAAAAGAAAACTATTCTGTGTGCTTGTCCAATTCTTTGTTTAGAACACTGAAAAAAAATCCCCCAGGTCTCATAATCTGGTAACACTGTCCCTTTGTCCTGTGTACAACTGCAAAGCCTGGCAAAAACAGAAGCCCATAAAGATCAAAGCCAAGCAGCAGGACCCCAGTCTGGGAACCGATGCCATACATGGGCCGCTGGCGGACTGGAACAGACAGACCTCAGCCCCTTCCCGTGCACGGCTGGCAAACAAGAAGTGCCAATACTACAAAAGATCAAAAACTGGAATCCCATCTTAGCAAAAAGCTTTTCCACAGCAAAAGAAACTGCTGATGGAGTAAAAAGGCAACCCACAGGGTGAAAAAAATCTTAGCCAGTTATTCTTCACAGTACTAATATCTAGAACATATGAAGAACTGAATAAAATCAGATCCCCCCAAATTTAGACTCAGTCCATAAATGGGCACCTGAATTGAATAGCCACGTTTCAAAAGAAGTATAAACCGCAAATAAATACATGAAAAAAGTTCAACATACAAGGGATGCAAATTAAAACAATGCTGCTATTCCATCTTACTCCAGAAAGAATGGCTATCATTAAGAAATTAACCAATAACAAATAGTGGTGAGGCTGGGGGTGGGGAGGAACCCTTCTCCACTGTTGGTGAGAGTGTAGTCTAGTGCAACAACTGTGGGAATCAGTGTGGAGAGTCCTCGAAAACTAGGACTACAGGTCCCATTTGACCCAGTGATTCTCCTTCTTAATGTCTTCCCAAAAGAATTAAAAGCATCAAGAATATATGCACACTCATGTCTATAGCAGTACAGTTTGTAATAGTTAAATCTTGGAAACAACCCAAATGCCCATCAACTGATGGAAAAAACAATGTGTGTGTGTGTGGTTTTTTTTTTAACACAGTGGAATACTAGTCAGCCATAGAGAAGGATAAACTTGAGACATTTATAGTTAAATGGATTCACTTTGGGACCATACTCTTAAGTGAAATAAATTGGACATGTGTAAATATCCCATTCTCTCTAGTGTGAGAAACTGAAAGTGTAATAAGAACCAAAATATATAATAGATATTGTGAAATAGGAAGAAATTGTTTGAAAGGAAAGGGGAATGGGCGTGGGGGTGGAAAGGAACAGAAAAATTAAGACAAATGAATAAGATAGAAACAAAGCTCTGTAAATAAGGAGGGGAAGAGGGATTTTAAAGGGGGGGGGGAATAGGAAAAAAAGGGAACTAAGAGACCTTATGCACAGGCCCAAGTTCCCTATGATGAATGTGATCATTATCTAAATGGTATATCTAAATTATGTCAATAAATTAATTCAAAAAAGAATTTATCAGAGAGAATAGACAGACAAAGATGAAGGATAAGTGACCCCTCACCTACTTTCAATAAAATGCAAGGGAGACAAGGGGTGGCCACCTAACAGGAAACTCGTTAGTATACAAACACATACAGCTACACGTGCTCTGCATTTCATTCTAGGGACCCTGTACTACTGCACAATGCATACCCTCACTTAGTCACTAACTCTAAGCTGCCCCCAACCCATCACAAAAGGGCAGGAAGGTGTGGGCACACAGGCAAGGGTCAAAGACAGCCAGAGCCAACCAGATCGTGACAAGACCCAGTACCTGCATGGAGGGAAAGGTCACTAGTCCTAATAAAGGAGCCAGAGGCTAGGCCTGGGGGTGTCCATCTTTCCCTTCTTCAGGGCAGCTTACTGTCTTTTTCCTTTTTCCTTAGAAATAAATCATCTTCTCAGGGGCTGGGGATTTAGCTCAGTGGCATAAGTGCCTGACTGTCAAGTGCAAAGTCATGACTTCAATCCTCAGTTCCAAAAAAATTAAAAAATCATCTTCCTTTTTAAAGTCTGTCTCTGTCATGGGTGCTGACTTTACAATCCAGCTGGCTGCTCATCCCAGGAGAGTACTCTCTATGGAGTGATTTGTAAGATACAAAGTTTTTAAAAGCTACATAACGGTTTTAAACATCCTCAGTGAGATACCTCCTCTGCAAAAAA